CGGGGCTTACTTCCTTTTTAGTCCTCTGTGTGTCTATGCAGATGTTACTAACGCTTTCCCCAGTCTTCTCTACTCTGTTGAAAACCTACCAGTACGCTTAATTTGGTATTTTGTATAGGAATCAAATCAGATGGATTTTCTTAGACCTTGGGAAAATGATGGGTTCATCTATGGCATTTTGTCTTTGTCTCCATTACAAAAACCAAAAGGAGATATTGGGAGAAGGCTTTTTAGTCAAGTATAGCTTTTTTCTTTTTCTTTATTTTTTTTCTTTTCCTTTTCTTTCTTTTTTTATGTTGCAGAACATTTTGATTGTTACAGTAGAAGGAACCTTTCACTTCATGTAAGCAGCTCTGTCACCACAGATTTTGTTAGGACCCTCTTATATCTTATATCTTTCAGGTCCACTAGATATTTTTATGTTGTGAGTGCCTGTGTTTATGTCTTCAATTTCAGAAACAAATTCAATTTCAGAAGAAAAGGAGAATGTAAATAAGGATTGGAGTGTGGAGCGTCCCCCCTCCACCAGTGGAATGCTTTATCTAGTTCTTGATATCACCAGAGTGTCCTGTCACTGGGTTTGTGTGTGATGCAGTGTAGTAGTGACCTGTACATTGATGGGTGGTCTACATTGGTGGTCAGCAACTTGTTGAAGACCACCAAAGTGACATTTGAAAAGTTATCACTAGTGCCTATGGCAAGGGCCTTAGGGGCTTTTCTGTTGGGTTTCTCTACGAGAATCAGAAGTTTAGGTCACAGGGACACCATGTTCTTGTTGGTGCAAATATACATGTCAGTGCCCTAAATTTCAGAAGTGGAAGTTCAGCTATAGTTAAGGACCTACTGGGAAACAGAACCTTCTGGAATGAGGTGGAACCTTCAGCCTCCCTGCCCACTTTGATTTCTGGGTCATACAAAGTATATAGCCATTCTACAGAAAAGGACTGCCCACATGGCTTCCAAAGTTCAACTCATTAAGCATCTTCAGTATTTCTCTTGGGAGGTCTTTATGAAATGTGTTGTCCCTAGCTGTCACCAGAGCTATTCATTTTTAAGCCAGGTATGTGAATCAGAAACACTCGGAAGTTTTTGGACAAATAGGATTCCTGGGGACCACTCTTGAGTGTAGGATTCTGACTCCATAGGCCTGAAGTAGAGTGTGGGAGGCTTTGGTTGGTACAAAGTGCTTCTGGTGCCCACATCTTCCTTGAAAGAAAAGATTTTTACTTAAGACTAAGATTATTTTTTAGCTTGGTAAGCCCCCTGCTTATGTTTTTTGGTACTTTTTGTTTCTTATTATCCCTGTAATTATCTATAGTATAATTATAGGATTTTTTGTGTGTGTGTGTGTGTGTGTGTGTGTGTGTGTGTGTGTGTTGCATGGTTTGCATGTGTGATTAGTTTGTTTTAAAGACAGAGTAGGCAGTTAAACTGCACCAGGAAGAAAAGCCTGGAGTGGTTTCAAGTAGACTCTGCAGTCAGCTGCAGACTTTTGAGAGAGTTCTGGAATCTGCTAGGTATAGCTGGCCAGGTGCCAGCTCAGTGGTTTCTTGGATGCATTGCTTGCCTGTGTGTGAGTCCTGTGTGCCTGTGGGGCTAGTTTCTCCTGCACCAAAGCCATCATGCAAGTCACATCAGACCGCTTGGTGTTGCATTCATGTTCCATCCTACAAGTATCTTGCAAACTCCTCACGTGCATTTCCCGGCCCCATGAGACCCTGGGATGCCTTTCTACAGGCTCAGAAGGAGGTTCCTCCCTCCTTATTTGTTTGAATTCCCCTTTAACAGTGCAGAATGCCAGGGCATGTGCAGGGGGGATTTGTGGGGAGGCTGGGGATCTGAGGTGGCTGGGAAAGGCAAGGGTTCCCCTCTGTTGACTTTTGTATATGTTTGTCAGGTACCTGTTTGTTTTACAACTCAGGCATGACATTCTTTCTGGAAAGTAAGTATGCTTTTGTTCTAAACTCTTAACCCAGCATAAAGCATAGTATATAACTCAATAATTTACTGTTTTAACTTTTATCCTTTATCCTCTTTATCAAATTAAAAAAAAACAAAAAACAAACAAACAAAAACAATACAACAGGTCTTGTCAAGTGAGTCAGATACTTGAACCGCTGTCAGTTTTGTTCTGTTTTAAAATGATTTCTATATGGCTTGGAGCATTTCCAAGAGCATTGAGTTTCTTGAATGATGTGTATTCGGGAACCACTTTCTCCCTGTCACATCACTGCCCAGTTCATATTGGCTTCTGTTGTATTTGCAAGCAATGCACACTGTCAACATGTATACATGTACAAGTATTTATGCAGTTTATCACCATCATACTGAAGCAACGTAGAGAGGTCCCTATCTGACCCTGCTAGGAAGAGCTGTAGACTCCTCCTCTCATTGCCTTCCCATCTTATTATTTAAACTCAAGGCATTGGATTTACAGTGACTGTTAACAAAGCACATTATCATGTTATCACAAACAACATGTGGTTGGTTTTGAGGGAGCATTAGTAGAAAAAGAAGGCTGACAAAATGACTCAGCGGGTAAAGGCTCTTGCACCCAACCCATACTGTGGCATTTGCAATCTGCCCTAACATCTGAGCACATGTGCACAGGTGTATACACACACACAGACACACACACAGACACACACTCTTATCTATATGAATAAATAAATATACAGAAGATTTTTAAACATTAACTTTCATCATTTTCCAGTAAGAGTTATTGAATATTTTGTGTTTACATTAAAAAAAATGAGGCTATATTAAGACTAAGAAGCAGTACCTGATGTTACCAATAGGAATATGTTCTGATTTGATATAATCTGAAGGAAATTTATTGGGTAATTTCTGCCATCTGTGCTGGTCCACACACCTAATCACAGAGCTGGGAAGGTAGAGGCTGGTGGATCTGAATGAATTTGAGGGCGGTCTGGTCTACCTAGTGAGTTCCAGGCCAGCCAGAGCTACTTAGTAAGACCCTGTCTCAAATAACAAATCCAAATATAATTAATTATGTAAATAAAATTCAAATGTAGTAAATAAATAAAATGTAATTTCCATGTTTGCAAATTCTTAATAGAAAATACAATCTAAAAATGGCAGTGGTAGGTAGGCAACAGAATGAGTAGATTGTGCAGTGTATACATTGACCTTACTCAGCCATGCAGTACAGTATCTGGTTGGTGTGTGTGCTGAGTATGTGTGTATTTTTATCTCTGTGGATTCTGTGCTCATCATACTGAAGACCCTGTCAGTGTAGAACTTGTCTCCAGTTTGGAAAACATTGTTGACAGTACTTCATATATGTCTAGTGCTTTGCAGTCTATCTCCACTCCCACGCAACTTATTATCTAACCAAAACAGTGTTCTGAGCCCAGCACTGCCTCCTGCTGCTGGAAGACCTTGAGCAAGATGCTGAAGACTAACTTTCTCATCTGGAAAATGAGAAATAGGGTGGAGGGTACTGGCCACACCCATCCTAAGAGTTTACAGACTAGACATTGACTCAACTGTATAATATATTTGAGTAGTCCTTAAGAACTATGAAGTGCTGTGCTAGTGTCCATCATGACAGTTTTCCTAACTGACTTTGGAATTTGAATTATGGGTGACATCACTGTGTTTGCAGTAGCACTCGTCTGTGGTCTGCCTCAGCTAGACCTGTTAGAATGCTGTGTACTATCTAGTGGTCCTGGTAACAGCATACACGGTGCTGGTGTGCTTATTTTTACCGTCTGACTTTGTTTCAAGGGAGGGTAAAGGCAGCTTGAGAAGACTCATGGACTGTCTCAAGAGAAAACAAGCCTAAGATGACAAGATGAAGGACAGGCTTTCATTGTTTTCTAAACATCCCGAGTCCTTTTCAAATTTAGCAGAAGTGATAGATGGTAGATGGTTGATAGAATGTATACTTGGGTAATCCTGTCATATGTGGAGAACTGCCCTGGGACATTTGTAGTGTATGTTAGTTTGTGTTCTGTAACATAGACACCAAAAATATAAACCACTAGCATCAGAAGTCTTGTGTAGACACTGCTGCCTTTTAAAGGGTGTTTTTGCTGACATTTGTTACATGGTTCCAAATGTAGAGCTTCCTATTAGTGTTCATTTCTTTTTCTTTTCTTTCTTTTCCCAAGACTGAAGTGCCCCTATGAAACGGCTGTGGAACTAGCTGCTCTCTGTCTGCAAGGTACATTCATCTTTAACATCTTAAAGTTACTGCTTTCATTTCAATAAGAGAGGATCTCCTGGATGCCAGGCCTGGTGTCCTGCTTTCTCCCAGGACATAAAGTAAGATGATGTGACCTCGGTCCCTGGAGCCTGCAGTCTGGTGAGGAAAGTACATGGAGCATATGGCAGTTTTTCTAACAACAGGAATGCACAGGAGGCTTGGGAGAGGGGGCCAAACAGGGACATGGAGAGGAAGGTGATTGGAAGAACCAAGGCGAAAGTGTAGTAAGAAGGGAGACCCAGCTCTTGCTTGGTGTGCACATGGCCCTGGGTCCCATCTATACTTCAAGTCTAGGGTTTTGTATAATAAGGGACTAATGCAGGTACAGGTTGGTTGAGTTTTGTACAGCACATAAAACCAAATGCAGTAATGTGCAACAATAATCCCAGCACTTCAGAGGTGGTGGTAGGAGAATCAGAAACAAATTTGAGGCCAGCCTGGGCAACATGAGACCCTGTCTCATAAAAAAAAAAAAAAAAAAGCAAGCAAGCAATAAAGTCATGGAGCTAGTAAACACAGTGTGAAGTTCAAGAAACTGGACTGGTGAATAGCCTTTGGCCCCACTCAAAGAATATGAACTTGGTGGGGTCAACAGCAATTCTTTGCATGTTCTTAAGGAGGCAGACCTGGGTGGTGGGTATTTTGGAAACACCACACTGGCTAGCTATGTGGAAAGAAGGAATTGGAGTGGGGCCGATACATGGGCTGGGGAAGGGTTGTTACCATAACAGAGGTAGTAAGAAACCGAGCAGGGCAGGTGGGTGTGCGCATAGTGAATGCAGCCATGGCTGGATTCCCCGATGAGCCATATTGTGAGAAAGGAGTTAGGGATGACTCAGGCTGCTGCTGCTGATAGGTGGTGGCATCAATGAGTGAGAAGTGGAAAAGGTGGCTCCTGTGGAGTACATGGCCTGTTAGAACCTTGGCCAAGAGGTGCTGAAGTCACCAGCATGCCAAGTGGGAATTGGGTGGCAGGTCTGCCTGCAGGACCGTCCACATTGACTGTTCATCTGTGGGAGGTGCTGCTGGGCTTTCATTTAAAATGCATGAGAAACACTTGCTTAATTATCCAGCACTAATTAAGAGAATGGGATTTCATTATCATGTGATTATCACAGTGCATTTTAATTTAGTGTGTATGCACACACAAGGGCGCGCTCTCTCGAAAAGATCAGACAACAACTTGGAGAAGTTGGTTCGCTTCTTCCACCCTGTGAGTCATAGGGCTCAAACTCAAGTCATCAGGCTCCATGGCAAGTACCTTTATCTGCTGAGGCATCTCACTTAGCCCTACTTACTATTTTTAGTCATTGTATACTGTTACATTTATACATGTAAAGATGTTTTGTTGAGAATGGGTATATTCCCATTCCTGAGTACTTCTAGTCCTTAGTCCCTCCTAACAGGTGCTCAGTAAGTGCAGAGTGAATAGAGGGATGAGCTTGGAGAAACCTGCAGTGTAGACTGAGAGCACTGGTGAGAATGGTGACAGCAAATGCTGTCTAGAGCCGACTGTGTGAAATACCATCCTCTCCCCATGTAGTCTGATGCACCAGGCCTCCTGGTGAGCATGGCAGAGACTCCTGGCTCCTTGTGTTGACCAGATGCAATTTTTACCAGCATAGACAGTAGCCTTCATCTACACTGGTTCCTGAGCTGCAAGAGGCCTAGTCAGGCTTGGCAGCCCTGAAGGATCTGTCAGGGTAGTGTTAATGAAAGGAAAGCACCCAGGCAACCGTGTCAGGCCTGGGGCCATTAATCACTGCAGAAGCTTCCTCCTGAGGCTATTGGCACAACATTTCAAGCCTGTCCTGTTGTCCTGAGTGATTAGAGGAGGAGGTACACCTCTGCCCTTGGCTGGTCCAGCTGTAGTGAGACTGAAAGCAGCATAGAAAAGGATGAACCCAGCCACCCGTGAGCCTTTCTTGGAAAAACTGCCTGTACCCGTAGCATAATTTAAGGCACAATTATAGGTCAGGTACAAATAAATACTTGAAGACTGATGAGGGACACACATGGGGAAGCCCTTATCACATTGTCATTCCATTCCCTGTGGTCTCACCTGCTTTCCTTTGGAGTCCAGCTTGGAGCCCTGCACTGTGATTACTAGCTTCACTCTATCAGTGTGGTGAGCCATTAAGGCACATCTTGCAGTTGCTCTTGAATTAATAGTGCCCCCTGAGCTACTGTGGCCTTCCATGGAGGATGTGCTCTTTGGGGAATACTCTTTGTGTATTTGAAAATCGATCCAAGTCAAAGGTTAAAAGGAATTTGAGATCATCTGTTGTATGACAGTATTCCAGTTTTGCCCGTGTAGTAACGGGCAAATGTCTCAGGTAGAGATCATAGACCTGGAGCAGCAGCTCAGTGATTTGCCCAGGAACACACACGGCAGGGTTGGAGTTTAGTCTCTTCTTCCATTTGAGCCATCTCCCTTACCTTCCATGGCCTTCATGGAGCCAGAGCCTGGCTGCAGAATTGGGATATTCTTGGAGTACCAAGTTCTTCCAGCATGTTCTTGGAAGACACTGGTATCCCAGGTACTGCTCAGGCCTGCTCCAGTACATCAAGGGCTGAAAGGGACACTGCCCTCTTTCTCACTGGCATAATTAATCCTGACAATTTAGGATACCACTAAACACGGGGTCCTATTGAGTCACATTTGCCAGTGGGTACATGGGATAGCACAGGAATCTTTTTCCAGTCTATACAAAGCTTAGAAGTTTCTAGAACCTCACTCCACAGTGATTTCTAGAACTGAGGTCAGTGGTGGTCTCTGGCTTGGGGAACCCAGCTCACTATACATTGTTTCTAGAACAGAATTTCATGCGTGTGCCCTTGCCCAGGGTAAAAGGCTGGTGCATGTCCTGACCCAGACCCCTCCACATCTTGGTCTAAGGGATGTGAAGGATGGCATTAAAGTGGAGAGGTACTTGCCAGGTCACCTCTCTTTGTCAGACGTTGTCTTGTAAAGGCAGAGTCTCCTTGAATTGGGTTGTATTGCCCCTCCTCTGCGTGAACACGAACTGTTTGTTTAGTGTTTTGAGAATAGGTCTCACTTAGTTTTGCCCAGACCTTGACTGTGAGAGCCTACTACCGTGGCTTATCACATTGACACACCATACTTAGTCACAGGAACATTTATCCATTCTACAAATCAGACAGAGTCCCTCTCCTGAAAGTTGGGCAATGAGATTTTGGTCCTCAGAAGTCACATGCTGGCCATGCGTGTCCTAATGGGGTAATAATGTGATACTGAGTACGTAGTGAGCTGCTGCTGTCCCTGCAGGTTCCTGGGCATGTGTGACCCCATCCACTGGTAGTATTGATGTCTGAGACATCATGTCGGGTGAGAATTTGTTAGAAGTACAAATTTGATTGGGTGGGAATTTGTTAGAAGTACAAATTTGATGTGTGGGGATGTAACCCAGTTGGTAGAGTGCTTGCCTAGCATATAAGACATCCTGAGTTTCATCCCCAGCCCCACATAAAATCAGGCACACTCAAAAGGTAAAGGTAGGAGGATCAGAAGTTGAAGGTCATCCACAGTCACCTTCAGTTCTGAGCCTGGGTCCGTATCAAGATCAGTAAATCTGGATGTGGGGCCCAATGATGTTATGTTTTAATGAGCCCACAAAATGATGCTTTTGCATCTCAAGTTCAAAACCAACTATTGTGGATCAGTGCCTTTCCAAGGGAAGTGCACCAGTCTCCAAGGGTCTTGTGAAATGGCAAATAGTGACTGACCTGTTCCTGGATGGGCATGCAAGTCTGCCTGGTGGTATGTAGACTTGCTAGCCTGAGGCCCACATTTATTATAAACAGCTTATAGAGAAAACTGGAGGATTCCCTTTTATTCTAAAGTCTGCAGGGGTCGAGTGGATTTTCTCATTCATGCTCCAGAGGCATGGGGCCACCATGTCCTTGGGTCTTCTGTTTTGTGGCTTGACAGGAGCAAGACTGTGCAGTGTATACTGGGCTTTTTGTCGTGAAGTTTCCTGTTGCTGTCCCTCTTTTGTGCGGCCCTCTCCTCTCTCCCCTTCTCTGTTCTGCCTGACTTGCCGCATTTACTCCTGCTCAGCACCCCTCCCTGTTCCTTTATCACTCCGATTCTGCATGCATCGAATACTTGATCCATCCTTCCCAGCCCTGCAAACACTAAAGTGCTGCTCTGACCTGTGCTTAAGGAGAGCCCTGTGCAGAAGATGCTCTCTGGCAGATCCTCATTGCCTGCAACCACCTTTTATTGCAAATTTTCACTTCCCAGGGAAATGTGAGCCAGGCTTCCCTAGGTGGGAGAAGCAGTGAGGAGAAAGACAGTAATGACTGAGATGATGGTGTACTTCTCTATTTGAAGGGGGTTAGAATGACTCCCAGGGATTCTGAGGGAAGCGGATAACGAGAGGGCTCTACCTCAGGGGCACCCGTACTTTCTGATAAAATGAATGCCTTTGGATTCGGTTGCAGCAATAACCCAAAGTGTTCAGTGTCTTCTGTTTTCCTCCCTTTTATGAACTGTACAGCGGAGCTGGGGGAGTGCGAGCTTCCGGAACACACGCCAGAGCTTGTGTCTGAGTTTCGGTTCATCCCAAATCAGACAGAAGCCATGGAATTCGATATCTTCCAGAGATGGAAAGAGTACAGGTAAGGCAGTGCACCTCTCTCGTGATCTAAACTGCTTGTTTATTTGTCCTATGTGCTCACCAGACCCTTCTGAAAAACTGTTGCATGACCTTCCTCAACACAGTGCCTTTTGTCTCACAGAGAAGAGGTGCTCCGTTAATGACCAGGTTGGAACCTTTCTCCTGTGTTTCATCCTGTTTCCAAAAGGCCTCTCTTCTGAGAAATGTGCAAAGGTCAAGCCATGCTGTTTTCCGTCTCTGAAATGCACAGCTTCTGTCTGATTTGATTATTTCTTACAATTTTATCCAGGTGTGGATAAAATGCTGTGCTTCCAAGTTTCTGTCCGTCCCGAGCAGTGGTTCTTAACCTTCCTAATGCTGTGACCCTTTAATACAGTTACTTCCTCATGTGGTGGTGACCCCCAACTATAAAATTATTTAGTTGCTGCATCATAACTGTAATTTTACTACTGTTATGAATTGTAAATATCTGATATACAGGATATCTGCTGTGTGAACCCCAAAGGCATCTTGCAGATTGAGGACCACTACTCTAAGAGCAAACCTTTTAGAAATATAGGTGGAATATCCCTAGCTCCCAAATTCTGAATCTAAAATGTGAAACTTGAGCACCAACCTGGTGATACATTTGGAAAATGCACACCAGGCTTTATGGGGCAGGCTGAAGTCTAATCATAGGAACAACTTCTAAATGTGTATGAAATCACCTCCAGGACCTTCCAGTTTTATGTATCAGGTAAATGTGACATAAATGACTTTGATGTTCAGAGTTGGGTCTTACCCTTCAGAGTATCTCATTGTCTTCACATTAGTATTTGAACATCTGAAAAAGGGAAAAAAAGAAAGGACCACCAATAATTTTGGTCTCACACATTTTGAGTCAGGCGTACTTGGCTTGTCGTCCTATGGTGAAATGATGAGACCATGTGACATACAGTTTTATTATATGTCCCCAAAGTGTGCTCATTACACTGAGAGCCAGCATGGTGTTTGTCTTCATGTTTCCCTGCCGCTACCACCCTAATCTAACATACTTGTTTTTGTTTTGCCTGGACCAATATGGCAGTTTGCCAGTGATGCACACACGTGCATATGTGTACATACACACAAACCACATGTTCCTAGTTACTCTTGGACCTGACTTAGTCTGACTTTCTATTTCCCTCAGTCCTTTGATGACTTTTAAAATTAAAGACGGCATGGGTTCTTGTCATAAAATGATAGGGAAATGTGCAGGTGTCCAGTCAACAAGTCCCACCCACTCTTCCACATGCAACCTCCTTTCTCCCAGAAGAAGGTCAGGAAGAACAGTTTTTCCCTTTGCCTTAGACCAAACTCTTATTTCTTTTTTCTTTTCTTTTTTTTTCTTTTCTTTCTTTTTTTTTTTTTTTTGCGACAGGGTTTTTCTGTGTAGCCCTGAATATCCTGAAACTCACTCTGTAGACCAGGCTGGCCTCGAACTTAGAGATCTGCCTGCCTCTGCCTCCTGAGTGCTAGGATTAAAGGTGTGCACCACCAATGCCCAGCGTACACTCTTGTTTTCTTAGGTTATCCTCAGAAACACCTTTCTGTGGTCTTCCTATTCAGTTAACATGGGGCTCTTGGAGATTGTTTCCCATCCTTATAAACTTGGGCTCTCCATTGCTGTAACTGTTGCATGACTTTCTGTAACACAGTGGGCTCTTCAGACCCTGCGGGTGTGTGGGGCCCTTTTACATGTGTCTCCGTTGTTTTTTTTCTAAGGGGAAAGAGCCCTGCCCAGGCGGAACTCTCCTATCTCAACAAAGCAAAGTGGCTGGAAATGTATGGGGTGGACATGCACGTCGTCAGGGTAAGAACTCTGTGTGTTTACGTCATTTTATTTTGCTGTTTCTGAAAAAATGCATAGTGTGCCATCAAAAGTAAATTTTGGTGAGGAAATTGTTTGCGTTCTTCTCTGTGACGACCTGTTAGAACCCTCTACCGACTGTCACTTCGTTTGTTTGTAGGGAAGAGATGGCTGTGAATATTCTCTTGGACTGACCCCGACAGGCATATTAATCTTTGAAGGAGCTAACAAAATAGGCTTATTCTTTTGGTAATTTAGTTTTGTCTAATATTAAAAATGTCTTTTCCTATTTTGTGTTGGAAAGTCTATGTGATGGATGATTTTGAGGGGTATTTGCAACACCCAGATTCGCTTTAAAAAAAAAAAAAATCACACCATCCTATTGTCATTGTGGGTGTGTGGCCGATGCACTGAACCTCTAGATAATCATATTTAAATGAATGAATGATGATTTTTCTTTTCTTAACCAATCTAAACTTTTATGAGTAGAAAGGAAACTGTTTGATGTGTGGACAGTTTGGCTGTAGACTGCCCTTTTTAAAACGCTCTCTCTCTGACCAGGCCTAAGATCACCAAAATGGACTTTAAAAAGAGCAAACTGACCCTCATTGTAGTGGAGGATGATGACCAGGTAGGCCTTGCTCCCCGCTGTCCTCCTCATTGCCTCCCGCCGGTGTCCCTGTGACATACGCCCCCACGAGGACCTTTGCTTCCTCCCTCAGGGGCGTGAGCAGGAGCACACCTTCGTGTTCAGGCTGGACAGTGCACGCACCTGCAAGCACTTGTGGAAGTGTGCTGTGGAGCACCACGCCTTCTTCCGTCTGCGCACACCCAGCAACAGCAAGTCCACCAGATCGGACTTCATCCGCCTAGGTTCCCGCTTCCGGTTCAGGTTGGCAGTTGCTTTACGACATGGACCGTGTGTTTCAGAGAATGACCACTCCTTTTTTCTGTGTATGAACGTAGCAGCAGATTTGTCCGTCCATCGGGTTGTTTGTCCCACCCTCCATTTCCTTCCTAAGGTGTGCCATTTAAGTCCAGCCACAACCTCTCTGGCTTCCATCACTTTACTGATAAAATGGAACTGATTTGAGGTGAAATGCTTGGTGCCAGGAGTGTTTGAGATGGTGGCATTTTTCTCAGTTTGGAGATGTTTGCATGGGCGATACTTGATATTGCAAATATTTGAGTTTAGGACCCCCGAATGTTTTGGATTTGGGGGTGAAGTGTGCTCAACATGTAGTAACCAAATTGCTGGGATTACACCTATAGCTAGAATGGTACTGTCCAGTGCAGTGGCCACTAGCTACCTACCTGAAGCTACGATAGTTGAAAACAATTGGTTCTTGGTGTCAACTGCCTCATTTCCAGTGATCTGTGGCCATAAGGTGGTAACTGCCTGTGAGTAGGGCAGACACAGCACAAAGAAAGGGTCGTTCACAGTAGGAGGCTCTGTTGGATTGTGCTGCACTAGAACTCATGACCCTAGAGGCAGCCTCAACAAGGCAGATCAAGTGTCCCTGGTTTACAAACTATACTAGGCTCAAACTCTCTGCCTTAGAAGTGTATCCCACACACCTGGCCTTGGTGCTTCTATTTGTTTGTGTATATGTGTATGTGTGTTGTTGTTTGCATTTCTTCCAGTGGGTCTATCCACTTGTGTATGTGCAAGCTTTCATAGAAGCCTGAGAGTGACGTAAGGGACTTCCTCGGTTGCTGCTGTCCATCTCATCTCTTGATGAACCTGGAGCTCACTGACTGAGCTATACTGCTGGTCTCCACTTATCTCCACCTCCCCAGTGCTAGGATTACAGATTGCAGAACAAGACCCCTGCTGTTGACATGGTGCTGAGAATCCAAACTCGGATTTTCATGCTGTGTCAGGACTTTACTGCCTAAACATCTTCCCAGCCCTGGTTCTTAAACTTCTCACCATTGCTATGCTTCCTTTTACATGATAGTGTCAAGAGATTGGGTAATGATTAAGGATGAGAGAGAGAGTGTGTGTGTGTGTGTGTGTGTGTGTGTGTGTCTGTCTGTCGGTCTGTCTGTCTGTCTGTCTGTCTGTCTGTCTGTCTGTCTATCTGTATTTGAATTTGAGAAGAGCCTGAAAAAATAGCTTATTCTCACATATTTTCACTTTTGAGTTTAAAAACTGAGTGCATGAAAACTCCTGGGGCATCTTTAAAACTGAAAATGCACAGCCTCCATAATCAGAGTGTGTGAATGTGCACATGTGTGTGTCAGCCCTTGGGATGTGAATTTTATTTTGTTTTAATTTTATATATTTTTGTGTATGGGTGTTTTGTCTACATGTGTGTTTGTGCACCATGTGAGTGCCTGGTGACTGAAGAGGCCAGAGAAGATGTCAGATGTCCTAAAACAAGAGTTGTGAACTATTATGTGGGTGCTGGAAATTGAGCCTGGATCCCCTGGAAAAGCAGCCCACAGAGCCATCTCTCCAGCCTGGAATGCACTTTTAAATACACTCCCGAGTCTAAGAATCTCAGTTACATGGTAGAGAACTGCACTTGGTTTCGTAACCTCTGCCCACACGTGGCATGTCCCTGAACTCTGTTTAAAATGCCAGCAGTGTCGCTCACTTCAGGTTTATGCACCATGCATGGGAATGGCTGTGAGTTTCTGTTTAAAGACTAGTTTTTGTTTGAATGTGTTTTTTAAATGCTCTAAGGAGAGGGAAAAGAAGACCAAGTCCTAGAGAAAAAAGAATCGCATCACCAGGCCCTTGAAGGATGGACAGGTCAGCATGGCAGAGGTTCACAGAGCCACTGGCTGCAGTCTACCCATATCTGTGTGGATTTGGAGTTGGGTGGAGAGGGCAGTCGAGGAGATTGCCAAAATAAGTAGGCTTTTTCCTTCTGGGAGGATGCTCCAAGGATTGGCTCAGACGTAGTGACCTTTGTTCCTCAAGGAGAAATGAAGAAGGAAGGGAAGTTTGGAGGTGAGGTCACCCCTAGGAGGCATCTGGATCAGGTAGCATTTGGCTCCTTCCATCTAAAAAATCAGCCAAAAGCAACTGGACTGGAGCAGTGATGGGTGGATCAGCAAAACACAGCTCCCCTCCTGGAAGCTGCATCTGGCTTCACAGTGCTCAAGTCTGGAAAGCCCTTATGAAGTTAGAAACAGTTCCTGTGGTGCATCACAAGGGAAGCCAAGGTTTAGTTTAGGGGCCTGCTACAAGAGCCTCGGAGAAGATGTGAAATGCTAAATGTCTCTATGGTGTTCCTTGAAAGGTTATTCTGTGTCTAATCAGTGTTTTCTTCTTTAAGTGATCCAAGTACTCAGACCTATTTGGTTTGAGCAACCAAGTGGTTGGCACTTAAATTGAAGTTTTATCCTTTGGTAGAAAGAGATTCTTGCCCCTGTGCCTGGCTTGGCAAAGGAGATTGTATTTCCAAATAGAAGCTTTAAACTTAGCATGTCTTTACCACGAGAGTTCATGCTAAGTTGAAATGTGCACTGGAGCTCTTGAATAATAAAAATATTCACTTGCAATAGCTGTGGTATGCTGAGAGCTGGTATTGACGTTAATGTGCAATCAAATATTTCCTTCCCAGTGGGCGGACAGAATATCAAGCTACTCACGGCTCCAGATTGCGAAGGACCAGCACCTTTGAGAGGAAGCCTAGCAAACGCTACCCATCCCGGCGACATTCCACATTCAAAGGTTACTCGGTGTTCCTTCCTTGGTGCCATTTTGCAAGAGGGCTTGGTGGGTCGGTTAGCTGGGGAGGAACTTAGTGCCATTGCCCTCTGGTGTTTGAAAGCTGTGGGAAAAGAATGTCATGGGACTCACACCCTCCAGTCTTAATCTTTGTCCCACTCAGTGTGCTCCTTTGCCTCTTCTTGTCTGTCTTCCTTCGAATGTTCCTCTCTACTTCGTTCAGGCTTGGATCCTCAAGAGTATCACGTTTGCCCATAGAAGGTACTGCATCCATTGTCTCCACTGCCTTGCCATTCCTGGTGGGGACATCAGGCACTTGCTAACCTGAATTATGACCACAGAAGAATGGATGCAGAACCTGCAGAGACAGAGTTCAGGTCCCCCATGGTCAGTCCAGACATGGCCATCCCTGAATACAGCTGCACCCTGCTGTGCTACTCTCCTGCTTAGAATTCCCTGAACCTCACTCATGTCCCTTACTGACTCCCACCTGTGTGAGGCCTGAGACCAGGATGTGCCAGGCAGTGCATGAGCCCTCCTGGCTCAATTCTATTCCAGTTAGGTTTCAGAATCTTAGCTGGAAGCTCTGTATAGCTCATTTCTCTGCACAGATGGGTTCTCTATCTGGCACACTCCAGTTAGCAATAAGTTGTTTGTCCTTTTTTTTTTTTTTTACAGCAAGACTGTTCTATACATTTTTCTTGCATCACCTGGGCTTTAGTGGGTCTCTATGGAACCCTGCTTTTATACCTATGCCTTCTAGAATCTTCAACCTTTGTCTCCCTGTACCCATTTCCTTATGTGATAAGCCAACGGCACAGAACTATCACAGTCAACAGGTTTTAAGTCATTTTTCAGTTGCTTTAGAGGAGAAAAAAAGCCAAGAGCTCCCTCCCTCCATCCCAAAATACAGCCTTAACTTTAAGAAACACCCGGGAGCCAGACTGTGATAGCACACACCTTTAATCCCAGCACTCAGGAGGCAGAAGCAGGTGAATCTCTCTGAGTTCCGAGGTCAGCCTGGTCTACACAGTGAGTTCCAGAACAGCTAGAGAAACCCTGTCTGTGTAGAGAAACCCTGTCTCTAAAAACCAAACCAACAAGCCAAAAATACAAGCAAGGGAGATGGGCAGAGGGAATGGGAGAAGGTGGGGAGGGAAGTTGCAGTCAGTATGTAAAATAAGTGAAAATTTGTAATTAATGAAAAGGAAAGAAAAAGCCACAAACAAAAAGAAAGGCCAGGAACATGTTCAAGAGAGGGCAGTACACTGATGAAGGATGACTACAGGCAGCACCGGGCAGTGTCTAAAGAAATAGCAAGGGGTGAGAACTCATGCCAGGACCATTGTCCCCCACTAACAGAACCACACTTGGGTGTGAGGGGTGGGTGGGGTATGTTGTCCATTGAGTCACAGGTGTCCAAAACAGGCCAATCTGGGGAACAACTTTCTAAAGAAAAAAGCACTGTTTTGATGTAGTTGTAAGCACACAGTTCCCATAAGTGTTTGCTCTCATAAGGGGCGGGGGGGGGGGGGGGGCGAGGAACGTCCAGTGTAGCTGACCTAGATGTGGAACATATGGCCAGATCCCACTAGATAGCTTGAGGCTGTTTTAGACTTCTGCCTCTGAGGACCTTTTTCTCCTCTTATTTTACTGACATACTTTCCAGCTAGAGGCCTAGAATCTTTGTGAAGCTCTGAGTAATTTCCCCTGTTGTACCCTTCTTGAAGTAAGGATTGCTGGGTATAGCCTGGTTGGGAGAGTGCTTGCCTGGCTCCATTGAAACCCTGGATTTGGTCTCCCAGTTCTGTAAACCAATAATCTCAACACTGGGGAGGTAGAGGCAGGAAGATCATCAGAAATTCAGTGTGGTCCTCAGCTACGTCGTATTTGAGGCCAGCCGGAGCAATATACAACTTTGCCCCCTCAAAAGAAGAAGAGTAGTGGGGGGAAAGTTGGGGATATATCTCGGTGGTAGCAAGGCTGTGGGTTCAATTCCCAGCATTAAACAAAAAAAGAAAAGAAGTGTAGTTGAATGAGTGCAAGCCTTTTATGCAGGCTCTGCCTCTGCCCATCAAAAATGCCTGCTCCACGTTCTTTCAGAGATGTCTGCTGGTGTTTCATCCCCCATCATTTACATTGTTTTCCCATCTCCACTCATCACCACCAGCTCCTCAGGAGCAAGCACGGTCCTGTGGTTGTCTCCTGGTGCTTTGTAGGCATATCGGCACACCCAGCCCTGGGAGCCTGATCTAGAGTTGCCTAGAGAACTAGGGAGGAACCATGTCAATCAGAGGGAAGGCTGTTCAAATCCTTGGGTAAGAAGTAGGTAGAGTTCAGAGCTGTCTGGTTTGAGATGAGGACTGTGGTTTGATAGACAGCTCTGTCTGTGTGTTGTCGTGTAGTGAATGTTTTAAAGTTTTACATAACTTCCCATCCTTTCTTTACAGCAAGCAACCCGGTGATTGCTGCTCAGCTCTGGTAAGTACCCCCAGACTCCCCAGCACATCTCTCCCCTCTAATTACCTGTGTGTTTGCAGTGTTGACTTTCTCCTTAATACAATTAAATCTAAGTGGCTAGCCTGATAACTTTTCTTTTCCTTTTCCTGCTGCCTGGCTGTACCATCCTCCCAGCTTTCAAAAAGCATACAACAGAATGTTCCAGGACTTTCTTGTTGCAAAACAGCTATTTTGTTTGAGTAGCATAGTGCTTTGTGTGTGTGTTTTGTTGTCACAGTGGTAAGGTGGCAGCCAAGTACGCAGCACGTGCCAGAGGCGAGGGTGGGGACTGAAGGCCCCGCCGCTGAGCGAAGGTTCCACAGCAACAGGTGCTGCGTTGTCCGGTGACATGCAGATGCTAGGAGGTGTTAAACGGCACTGGAAGGTGGAAAGATGGCTCAGTGGGTAAAGGTGCTTGCTGTGCAGGCCTTGAAATTTATGTTCAAACCCATGTAGAGGTGGAAAGAGAGAACTGGCTCCATAGTGCTGTCCTCTGACCTGACCTCCACACATGCACCATGCCGTGCACAAACATCATGCACATAGACATAACAACAATAATAAAAGCAAGCAGACAGATAAATAAGCCACCTCGAGAGTTCCCACCAGAAAATAATGTATCACAAGCCTGAAAAATCTCCTGTGGGGTACTTGGCAACAAGCTTCCCATCCGGAGACACATAGGAAATATTTTGAATTCTGGGCTGTGACATCTCTTTCAGAACTAGTCAGTGCTGCTGTAGCAATACTGAAGCAGCTGTAGACAATATGCAAATGAATGAGCATGATTGTGATTTAATAAAACTTTATTCATAAGTACCAGTTGGCCACATTTGGCCCATGGGTCAAATTAGCTGCTTCTTCCCTAGCTTGACTCTGCCTGTGTCTGGAATTACCTGATGAGCTATGAAACATCCCCTTTGGGCAGGACAGCCCTGGGCCACATTAATACTTGTACACATGTAGGGACTTGGGAGTTTGTTCTTCAAAGCTTCCCTGGTAAGGTTAGCGTGGTCTCTAGATGAGATCACTGCCCTACCTACTACCTCACCTTCTCTCTCCTATCTGAAACCATCTCTTTTCCTCTATAAGCATGGCATGCTAGGATTGACTGTCATGGGAAAGAAAAGTTGGTAGATAGATCATTGGTTCTAAACTGCAGGCTGAGTCCTCAAGGCTGATGGGGCAAAGATGGTGGTGGCCAATGAGATGGGTACAGATGGCCTGTGCTTTGTACTCTCATCCTGGCAAACAAGACATGCGATCAGGGCCTCCACTGCTCTGGCTAGCATCTAAGCTCCAACCTCAGGAACCCCTCTCCATAACAGTTTTTTTTTCAAATGCATCCTGGAGCCTTTGGCCTTCTGCTTGCTATGCTTCCTTTTTTCCTCATTTGCAGGCAAGGATCTTGGAATAGGTTGGTGTTCTCCCCAGATTTTTTAGCTTGTGATTTTTACACTCTCCCACCATCCCCAAAAAGCCTGACTTAAAAGCAAACAAAACAGAGAAAACCGGAGAGCTACTTGTGGGTAGAGAAGGACCAAGGCCCACCTGTTTGTTGGCTTCCTCCCCACCTCAGGAAGCACTGAGATCCTTTCAAGAAACCTTGGGTTCCTGAGCGCAAAGTTAGCATAGCCTTAGGTTCCAGAGTGTATTTGCAAGGACAAGCTGGCCTGTTCATGCCATCTGCCTTCTGCATTTAGTGAAGGTGGGGAGAATTCTCTTGAACCCATTGCTCCTGTGGTGGAAAGTATGGGGTATTTACAGTGTTCTCAGGTTGGGTAGTTGTAGGTCTGCAGGTGTGCTCTCTGTCTTGGAGGGAGGGGGGGGCTCTGGCAGTCAGGGTCTCAGCAGATCATAGGCTGAAAACTGGTGGTCTTTTCAGCCTGTCAGGTCCTGCTTTTAATTCTCAGGGGATTGTAAGCTACAGTATTTCTTGCTTTCTTAGGAGATGATTGTTTTGTTTGTTTATATTTCCCTGATAAAGTGGCATTTCCCTCTTAGAATCTAGGGGAGATTATATATTGGGAATGAAAACAAACATTAAAAAAATCGCCACACTCACAAAATAGTGTCAGTAAATATACCCTTTAGGAACAAATGAGCTAATAACTGCTGTTCACAGCTGTTCAATTGCTCTTCCCAGCCTGTGGGATCCAGGGTAAGTAGAATTGCTGTGGGGGCCATGGATGAAGTTGTGCTGGGAACCACAGAGGTACTGCTGGAAAAACAGCACCGTGTGGAACACTTTACCCACCTGCTGAGATTCAGCCTAAGTGGTCTGGCTCAGAGCCTGGCTTCACTACCAGGCCTCTCTGAAAACTAAATGCAAACCCAGTGTAAGACTCAGAACGAAGATGCCTCTTCTCCTCCAACCCCCTTCTTAGAGAGGCAATAAACCTTGATTCCAGGCACCCTAGCAACAGTGACTGCCCAGTGATTGTTCTGGGGTTGTGAGGTTTCTGGCAGGCACTGAGCTTGCATCTTATACAGCAAACACTCTCTCTCTCTCTCTCTCTCTCTCTCTCTCTCTCTCTCTCTTCCCTCCCTCCTTCCCTCTCTTTCTCTCTCTTTCTCTGTATGTATGTGTATATATATATATATATATACATATATATATATATATTCCACACATATTTATGTATGTGTATATGTTTATATATTTGCCAAGCTAGTTCTCATTAAGATCCTAATCAAATTAGATCACACTTGAGCTCTGAACTTTTCCACAGACCCTCCAAGAGCCAGCTAGATTTAGTGGAAAGAAAATAGGTTTTGGTTCTGAGCACATGTTGAGTCAACCCTATCTCAGCCAGTGACTGGCTAGTGATTCTTAGTTAGATCCCTAATTCTGTCTGAAGCAGCTGTTCCTTTTGTCTGTGAATTGAGGTGGATTAAGGTGGTAGGGAATGTCATAGACTTTGTCACCCTGCTATGTAGATTAGTAACAGGGTAGAGGCTTAACTTGAATGAACACTCACCGCTGTGTCCAGATCAGCAGCAATGAGTGTCACCATGTTCCAGGGACTCGCGTGATCCCTACCACAGGCACTGTGGTAGGTGTCTCGAAGAAGCTGATACCTCTCCCTCCAGCTGCAAGAAGCTCTGTGCCATCACTAGAGATGTAGCCTATGGGGCAATGCTAGGGAGGGGGTGGTGTGTGGCAATGGGAACCAAAGCTGCTTGGTTTGCACTGCTGAAAGGTAACCCAAATATGTCACAGCTACACTTTGGCATCTCACCGGGGTGTTCATGCTGGTGAGTCTTAAATTGGTGAGGGAAAGTTGGTACTTGTAGCTTCCTTGTTCATATGATTTATATATATATATATATATATATATATATATATATATATTTTTTTAAG